GTGCCTAGCCATAGGTTAACACCCCCACAAAATTTCAGCCATCTCAGGCAATTATTAGAGGAGCTGTGAACAGTTGAAATTTTGGGATATTTTACCACTAAACTTAGGTGGTTTTGGGTCCAAAAATTTTTTTTTCAACTATCTCTATTTGATCAGCATCTCTTGAAACGCATTTTTAATGTGGTGCCTTTAAAACATTTTTTTCAAAAAGATTAGAAAAAAATTTTCTGGACCCAAAACCACCCAAGTTTAGTGGTGAAATAACCCAAAACTTCAATTATTCACAGCTCCTCTAACAAGGTAGGTTTACGCCAGACCGCGTCTTGTCGTAACAGGCTTCGCGATGTCTCGCGGCCTGTTCCTCCAATCCGCGCCTGGCGTACGTACCTTGAGGTCTGAACCGCTGCACTGCTAGTTACTTGCCTGCTCGATGGGGCTTGTCTTTTGTGAGCGGGCAAGTAACTAGCAGTGCGGCGGTTCAGACCTCCTACCTTGGCCTGCGGCGCTGGCCTGCCTTTGGCAGGCATTGTCTTGTCCGTCATTGGTTCCTTCTTACTTGTTGCATGCTGCCCCCCAGCCACCCCCTTCATTCTAGAGTTGCTTCATCTACAGGTAACACGATCTTGTCCCTTGTAACTTTTTTACTTGTCGGGGCTGGGGGACTCCGCCCCCCAGATCCCTCTTTCTAAAGACAGGATTGAACTGCCCGCAAAAAACTCGATTTTTCGCCGTTTTTTAGGTGTTTTTCGCCTATAAAAACTGAACCACGTGAGCTAGTATAGTGAGATTTCGCGTGTGCCGAGACAAGAACATACCTAATAAGCCTGCAAAATCTCAGCCAGATCGGCCGAGCCGTTCAGGAGGAGTAGTGTACACACACACACACACACACAGACACACAGACACCCAGACAGACGGAAAAAACTTTTCAACCGCACTGGAGTAACTGGCTTCGCTATCGCTCAGCCAATAATTGCCTGAGATGGCTGAAATTTTGTGGGGGTGTTAACCAATGGGTAGGCACTATTTGAGCCAAAGAGGAGCGAAATCGCCGATGGTCTGCTTCGAACGGCCCTGATACGCTCAAATCTTCAGTAAAAATAGTGAAATTGAGCAACTTTGAGAGCCCGTAGCGTCCAAACTCGACGCCGTAGAGCCTCGCGCGACCCGGCATTCGAAAGAGCGCACTTTTTTCTTTTGGAAACGACACTTTGGTAGATTTTTTGGCCAGCAGGTTCCGGGATCCCAAAAAGCCCCAAACCCTCAAAAACAGCCATTTTTAGGGGTTTTTGACCTCTACCAAAGAGCCAATCGGTGTCAGCTCCGGCCCAATTTGTGTTTCGGTAATTGGCTGAGCGATATCGAAGCCCGTTACTCCAGTGGGGTTGAAAAGTTTTGTCTGTCTGTCTGTCTGTCTGTTTGTCTGTCTGTCTGCGTGCGTGTGTGTGTGTGTGCACTACTCCTCCTGAACGGCTCAGGCGATCTGGCTGAGATTTTGCAGGCTTATTAGGTATGTTCTTGGCTCAGCACACGCGAAATTTCACTATCCTAGCTCAATTGGTTCAGTTTTTATGGCCGAAAAACACCTAAAAAACGGCGAAAAATCGAGTTTTCTGCAAGAAGATCACCTCTGTCTTGAAGAAAGGGGTCTGGGGGGCGGAGCCCCCCAGCCTCGACAAGTTAAAGAGTTACAAGGGTCAAGATCGTGTTACCTGTAGATGAAGCAACTCTTCCTAGAATTAAGGGGGGTCTGGGGGGCGGAGCCCCCCAGCATGCAACACGTAAGAAGCAACCGACGATGGACAAGCCAATGCCTGCCGAAGGCAGGCTATCGCCGCAGGCCAAGGTAGGTACGCCAGGCGCGGATTGGAGGAACAGGCCGCGAGATATCGCGAAGCCTGTTACGACAAGACGCGGTCTGGCGTAAACCTACCTTGTTCGTATTCACTAGAGGAACCAAAAAAACCAGGAGGGAGCCAGATCTGAGGGGGTCCCCGGCCAAGTGTTTTTTTTTGTCTGGAGCTGCTCCGATTTAATAAGCCTAAATTCAACAAAATCCACTCAATTTTTAAAAAAGGGGACCGACCCACTAAAAATTTTTTGGCTGAGCGATAGCGAAGCCTGTTACTCCAGTGCGGTTGAAAAGTTTTGTCTGTCTGTCTGTCTGTCTGTCAGTCTGTCTGCGTGTGTGTGTGCACTACTCCTCCTGAACGGCTCGGCCGATCTGGCTGAGATTTTGCAGGCTTATTAGGTATGTTCTTGGCTCGGCACACGCGAAATTTCACTAGCCTAGCTCAACTAGTTCAGTTTTTATAGCCGAAAAACACCTAAAAAACGGCGAAAAAATGAGTTTTCTGCAGGAAGATCACCTCTGTCTTGAAGAAAGGGGGGTCTGGGGGGCGGAGCCCCCCAGCCCAGTCCAGTTAAAAAGTTACAAGGGTCAAGATCGTGTTATCTGTAGATGAAGCAATTCTACCTAGAACTAAGGGGGGTCTGGGGGGCGGAGCCCCCCAGCATGCAACACATAAGACCGACGACGGACAAGCCAATGCCTGCCGGAGGCAGGCTAGCGCCGCAGGCCAAGGTAGGTACGCCAGGCGCGGATTGGAGGAACAGGCCGCGAGACATCGCGAAGCCTGTTACGACGAGACGCGGTCTGGCGTAAACCTACCTTGTATTCGCCCCATCGGTAGGTCTGGTTGAGACATTTTCGAAACTGTGCCGCAATTAGGTCCCCGACGCCGGCAACATCCTCAAAACGATAAAATAGGCCTAAATTGCACAAAATGCATCCGTTTCCGAGCAAACCTACTCAATCTTAATGCAACCGTTTCCGAGCAAACCTATTCAATCTTCAAACAAGCTAGGGCCCGACCTTCCGTCGAACCGAGTTGCCAGCTCCGCTTCGCTGCGCCGGCAACTCGGTTCGACAGGGGGCCGGCCCAGCTTGGCCTGCCGGCGGCCTTTCCTTTGGCCTTCGGCCCTCGCATCAGACCCTACTTGGCCAGTCGAAGGCCCGGGCCTTCGCGCCGCTCGCATCACACACCCCGTGAGCGGGTAAAGCAAAGTTATCGATGTACCATCGTCACTTAGGCCCGCCTTTCTATTCACAATATGCAATTGTCCTTACACTTTTTACTCCAACTGTCCTTAGAATATGCCCATTTCATTTGTCTCTTTGCCCTTATTTTGAAAATACCCATATTTGCCATGCTACTGAAACTCCTTGCAATAGAGGCACAGCAGGAGCGCAAAACGAGTCCGTCGCACTTTTTCCCATAACTCATGAAGGCGGGCTCCTGGACCCCCCTGGGCGGTTTTACGGAGGCATAGACAATGAGAGGACTCGGTTTGGGGAGAGAGTTTCTTTACTCACACATGGTTACCAGAAGTTACAGAGGGGCTCTGTGCTGGACGGGACTCGGGACAAGACTGCCAAAACCGTCCAGGCGCAGGCCTTTTATAACCTGTTACATGCACATGCGGCGCACACACACACACGCCTCAGTTCGTTCACCGAGCACGCCGTTGCGCCGCCGACGCATTACGCATGCCAGACGGACAAGGCTGTCTGAGGCCTGCTTATACTATAGGTTGAACAGACTTTGGTTCAACCACGGATCACACTACCCTCCCTCCCCTTTTATTTATTTGGAACATATATTACAATTGACAGGATAACAACACGCGATTACAATGCACCGAAGTGACACGCACAGGCGCGTGGCGATGTTTGTCGGGGCGACGAGGAAATTTAAGGCGCGGCCGTGGGGTGTACAGTCCCAGGACGCGCGGCCAGCTGACGCACAGTGGGCGGAAACACAACTTTCCACGCGAAAAACTCTTATTTTTGCACTTCAAGCCTGAAATTTTGAACCCGTGGGTTCTGAGTGTCGTTAAACACGTCTTTCATACTTTTAAATACAACTTCATTGAAATCTGTCTTTTAATCCAATGGAATGCCTTATTTATAATTTTAAGGGGTTGGAGTGAATTTTCAAAATTGTCCAAATCAAAATTTCTTTATAGAAATGGATTCGGTTTGACAAGACAAACAAAAAATGTCAGCGCATGCCACAGGTTTAAATGAGAAATGATAGACTTACAGCCAGGCGTAGCACCGCGCGCGCGCGATAAAGTGTCGAATAACTGCATTTTTGTGCTGTTTACAGATAGAAATTAGGCTGCCTAAAAGGGCACAGTGGCTAAAAGTGGCTAGTTTTTGCCCCATCGTGAAGGGGACACTTTTTTCTTTCGATTCAGCCTAGTGCGGAGTTGGGGCTCTGTAGGGCTTTGAATGCCGCCCAATGAGACTAAAACATCACGATTTTTGTGCCGCCTTCCACTAAAATGGCTGCAGATAATTCATTTGTTGGCAAAAATACAATCCAAGACCGGTTTTGGAATCGCTAAAAAGTGCTCTAGACGAACGTGTGCTCAGTTTTTCTTTACGTGAACAATGAAAGGCACAAATTAATTACAAAGTCCACTATATTTTAAGGCAAATTGACAGAAAAATGGAAACTTTGACTTTCAAGCCTTCCTGAGGATAAATGAAGCTCTCTATCAGGAAAACGATGCTGGATTCGAATTCTGCATAGTTTTTTGAACATCCCAGGTAAAGTTTTGATCACTCACTTAACTTTTTACATTTGGACTTTTTCGCGTCGAAAGTGGTGTTTCCGCCCACTGTGTGACGGCCCGACTGTACCAAGCTCGCACGCAAAGCGATTTGTGTCCCCGGGACGCGACCTTGATCCCAGTCGGCCGCCGGCAGGACTAATGATACAAAAACAAAAAGAAAAACAAAGAATTAATGAACATCTCGTCCAAACAAGGCGCGCGGCTTGTTACCATCCAGCAAACTTAACCTAAAAAAAAAACAAAAATTAAATTGGAACTTAAATCTAGAACAACCCTCCGACAGAGCAAGGTTAAATTGAAATGCAAGAGTGCAAAGTGAAGTTAAATTTTAAGTGACCTCTAATCAATGGCAAGTTACGTTGCTTAGACGTGTGGGGGACGTGTGTAACGGGGTATTAATGGCAAATCCGCCCCCGTGTCCACCACCACTTTAGCTTTGGCGACGCGGCGCCTGCAACATTTCCAGTATAGCCAGACTGTTATTACCAAGAGGAGCACGACCGTCAGCACACTACCCACTATACTGTAGGTGTCCAAATAATCCGTCCATCGGTCCCAAATGGGCAGGTTCAGCGCTTTCTGAATTTCAGCCAGCCGGTACCCCTGCTCGATGCCGAGTTGAGTCGAGGTGTTGAAAAGTTGGTTTATCGCCTGCATAATGCGCTGGCGATTAGTGGTGTTTAGTGCGAACGCCTCCGGGACTGGCACGGACACGTCCGGGATGACCACGTCGCACAGTGGGTCAGAACCCCTATTTCCGTGATCATAGGGTCAAAATTCAAAGTGACTTTGGAACCCATCCAATACCGCTTCTCCACTCAAAAATGTCCACTGAACTCAAATCAAGCTTTGGTTTGGCGATAGGACGCATCGTATTTGAATGGCAGGGCTGCATAGTCAGAATATGTATCTATATTTTCATGATTTTGTGTGAATCGTACATTATCGCTTCCTCCCAGTTTGGATGCAAACCAATCCAGGTAGCCTGCATATCAGCACGGAACTTTAATTAATACTGTATAAAAATGTGCTGGGAGAGAACCAGACCCGCACTTCGTCCATCTAAGGGTTATACAGACAACACTTCCAAGCAATATATTGCCCAAAATGCCCAAATTCGACATAAATTGGAGGAAAAGTTATGTTACCCCCCTTTACCCCCCGACCATTTTAACTGGGATCGGTAGGTGGATGCTGTAGCTACTACGGGCAACCAGCCGTTTAACCGCACTCAGCCGCAATTTTTTTTAGCACCGATTTTTAATAATATTAGCATGTCTAAAAATAATTGTTTTTCGACGGTTATGTATTTTTGATGCGAGATCGGCTTCAGCGCCTCTCCGCATCTGATTTATGTTGCTTCCTGAGTACAAATGTCTTGTTCGATCGTGTTTGAACGTGTTCAAATGCGTCCAAACCTGCTCGGACGAGTTCAAACGTGTTCGGACGTCTGAATGTGTCCAAATGTGTTCAAACGTGTGTTCGAACGTGTCCGAACACGTCTGAGCTTGTCGGGACGTGTCCCAACGTGTTCGAGCGTGTTCAAACGTGTTCGAACGTACTCAAACGTGTTATCGGTACGCGTCGACGTTCTAACGTTGCGGTTAGTGTCGGTGTGTGTCGGGAATTCTCCCGTCTTGTTAAGCGTAAGAACTTGATGAAAACTGTTACTCGTCCATACGTGTCGGAATAAGTCCAAAATTCACTTTATGTGTTGGTACCGTTAAAACGACTCTGCCCTAATACAAACTGTTCAGTGCGTGTTGGAACGTGTCAGGTTGCTTAGACGTGTCTACCCTTGTTGGTACTAGTCCACGCTCGATATAAGAATGCGCGCTCATTCCAGGAACGTGCCATCACGTTAAAACGAACGTGACAAAGTGACACATTCGTTTGGATGTGAATCTACTAAAAATACGCTTTTTCACATTCAAACGAACGTGACACAATGCTCAAACGAATGTGACATTTTGTCACGTTTGTTTCAACGTGAGGTCACGCTCCTGGAATGAGAGTGTGAACTAGTTTTGGGTGCCGTATTTACATCATACCCCAAATAAACCACACACCTTACACCAATACACAAAAAATAGTCAAAAACCTCAATTTTCACCCAATTTTAACCTTTAATTGACGAAATATGCATGTTCCTGTTGTCCTGTGGTCCTGAAATTTTGCACAGCACCTGCTTATACCATAATCTATGCAACAAAATAGCATTTTTTGCAATTTAGGGTAAATTGGATTTATACATAAGCCAAATATACCTTTAAAACACAATTATGCAAATCTCACTTTTTCCGTCTCTAAAGGGACCTTTCAGGAAGCTTCCGTTAAAATTTCACCCAATTCGGTCAAAAAGCAGCTGTGCAGGAGGCCGTGATCACGAAAATAGGGGTTCTGGCCCACTGTGCGTCGTCATCGAAGTCCAGTTGGCTGACGAAACTGCTGCCCGAAAACAGGAGGAGGCCGTCCACCTCCGCAGATGTGAAGGGCGGTATGTGTAGCAGACCAGTTCGGGGCAGTTTTGTCAGGTTGGAAAGCAGGCCCCGACCTTGGGCGTCTGACAAGCTTATCTTGGTTGGCCTCGGCAGACTGAAGGCCCAAGTGTGGCCTCCACGGTAGCTGGTAAATCTCGGCTTGGGGTTCTTGATGAAGGAAGGCTCGCACAGGCGGGCCACCTCCTTTTCGTCGGACATCAGAAGTGCAAACATGCAGGTCGGCTTGGTGTGGAATGGGACCGAAGGATGGCACACCGGCGTATCCGGGGACTGACACAACTGCAAATCAGCTTCATTAAGCAATATGTGCGACTTTAGGTCGGCCCCAACGGCTATATATTTGGCTTCTGGCTTATACACTACAAATAAATCCGATTCATTAATTTTAAACGGCCATGCGGCGGCCTCATACAGCCGGAACTTCCGAGTGGTTAGGACCAGAGGAATGTGGATATTTAAATCCAGCGTCTCGGCCGTAATCACTGGGGTTACCCGCGCCGTTCGATAATAAAATTCTACTTTGCCTGGCTCTGCCGGAACCGGAAGCTGAAGACCCAAAGGAAGCGTGTTGCTCAATTGCTTAAGTAGGTCCGCAAACGTGCTTGCGTCGATAAACGCCGGCGAAAGTGCCCCGTCAATTGACGCAAACTCGTAGGCTGTCAAGAAAGCTTTGACCTCCGACCGAAGCTGCGCAATTACGGCATGAACCAGCCTCATAATTGCTGAAAAATCATTGGCACTTTGAACAGTTTTATACATCGTTTGGAAATCATAGGCTTCTAGGTTCTTCAGCCTGTCTAGCAGGGTTTCCTGGGTTGTTAACCTATCTAAAGTTAAATTGACCAAGGTGGTTTGAGCCTTGGCCACCGTATGTAAACTATCCACCTTGAACCGCATTTCTCTGAACATTGAATTAATCTTTTCGCGGTCTGAATCACTCATAATACCAAACCATGATTTGGACATCTCACCGACCGAGGTTAGCTCACGCTTGGATCGGACCGAAATGTGAACAATATTTCCAACTGATGTGAACATATTAAGCGGCCAAGGTGCTAGCCGCAATAACGGCAAAACTAAAGGGTTAGTAATGTTTACGAGATCGCTGGCAGCTTCGTCTTCATCCTGTTCTTCCGCCTCCGTTTGGTTCAGCTGCAGGTCCGCGGGTGACCCCAGCAGAGCCTGCGGTTGGATGTAGGTCACCGGGGCGAAAATCTGCTCCGGCGCCGCCATGCTGCTGTCGTTGTCCAAGGGAGCGGGCAGGAAGACCGGAAGTTGACTTAGCGTCTGCTGCGCGAAGTCACTGATGCACAGTGGGCTAAAACACCCTTTTAGGCGCTCAAAACCTATATTTCAGCCATTTTCGATCGTATATGTCCCAAATTTGGTACAGACCCTCTTTTGGTCTTTCTTTATGAGATTTTGAACAAGCGGCGGCAAGTGTGACCTTATCTCAGCCGTGGTTCACCGAAAATTGATATAATATAATCGTATTTTTATGTTGTATATTTCTGAGTCTGCGGGAGCACTCTCTCTTTCTATTAGATCAATGCAAAACATATTGTAGGTTTTTTTTTAATGTTAATTTCAGACGGAACAATTGAAAACCGCTTAAAGGAGTCAAAAACATCACTTACATTATATGTGCCTCTTTAAAAACAATACTGTAAAAAATCATGGTTACAGATTTTATAACAACTGTCAAACTTCAATTTCCTAAAATCAATTTTTAAATGATAAATCATTTAACTCTTCATGGAACAATAACATGGCAGGCTCATTAGCCTGGCCATCAAAGGGGCCAACTATAAGTGAAAGAACTGTGGCACACAGTTTTTGGCCCGCCCTTCTATTCAAAAAATAGGGGGGGGCCTATGCATTTGCCTTTGTGTCTGTGTGTTGTTGTTGTCGTTGTTGTCGTTGTTGTCGTTGTTGGTGTCTGTGTACAAGGAAGGAGTTGAGCTAGAGTAACCAGATTTGGAGGGTACTTCAGGAGTACCGTCCAAACAAATAATCCGGTGGTGCAAATCCCGTCCGGGTCGCACAAGGGCTGCTGCAGGTGCATCATGGTTTACATGAGCGGGAGGGGGATTTCCGCCATTTTTGGTGCTAGCAGGGCACATAGGGGTATTTTTGGAATCAGGGCGACGAGACAAGATGAATGGACCTGGTCCCGACCCCATCGGCCGCTTTTACAAGTTGGCCAGATCAGGATTTTCAAAAAGGGGGTCGACCGACTAAAAAATTTATTGCAGATTTCGATTGGTCTCAGCAAGACCTTTTCAACGAGGGGTCGGAAAGGGGGTCCAGGAGCCCGACTTCGTCTATTAGTCACATCAGGATCTTGAAAGAAGGGGGTCGACCGACTGAAAATTTTTACTTAAGTTTTCGATAGGTCTCGGCAAGACCTCTTCAACGAGGGGTCGGAAGGGGGGTCCAGGAGCCCGCCTTCATGAGTTATGGGAAAAAGTGCGACGGACTCGTTTTGCGCTCCTGCTGTGCCTCTATTGCAAGGAGTTGCAGTAGCATGGCAAATATGGGTATTTTCGGAATGAGGGCTAAGAGACAAATGAAATGGGCATATTCTAAGGACAGTTGGAGTAAAAAGTGTAAGGGGCCGTACCCATATTACGTGACCGATTTGGGGGGCGGGGGGGTCTAGCCAAATACTACGCCCTATCTTAAGTACATGGGAAGGTTAGGTTATCCAGGTCACGAGGAGGGGGGAGGGGGTCAAAAAGTGGCCTAAATCGGTCACATAATATGGGTACGATCCCTAAGGACTTTTGCATATTGTGAATAGAAGGGCGGGCTTAAGTCACGATGGTACATCGATAACTTTGCTTTACCCGCTCACGGGGCGTGTAATGCGAGCGGGCCGAAGGCCCGGGCCTTCGACTGGCCAAGTTGAGTCCGATGCGAGGGCCGAAGGCCCGAGGAAAGGCCGCCGGCAGGCCAAGCTGGGCCGGCCCCCTGTCGAACCGAGTTGCCGGCGCAGCGAAGCGGAGCTGGCAACTCGGTTCGACGGAAGGGCGGGCCCTAGCTTGTTAAGACTTGGCTTTAGGTTTTTATTTTCTGAAAGAGCTGATCACAGGATCAGATGAAACAAATTGCAGTCAGATGATCTGCATTCCCATCAATTCTGTTGCACTTCCGGGTGGCCTTTTCTGAAGGGTTAGTTGTAGAGAAAGGGCGGGGGGCTAGGGAAAAGGAGCCAAAAAGCACGTGAAGGATAAGGGACGGTTGGGATGGAGACATGGTTGCTTGGTTTCTTTCTTCGTTGGGACGCATTTTCTACCGAAAACGGGTAAATTGTCAATTTTTTAATGTTTCACAGCCGCGTATTACTGTTTGCGCAAATATGCGCAGGTTTTCTCTGTTGATCCTTTCAATTGACACATAGGTTGATAATTTTCAGCGGTGGAACGTGCTTAATAGTGCGGAATTCTATAGTAGATCTCAAACTTTTGTTTTTAAAGTAAAAATTATACAAATAAAGCGATTATATGCACACCAACACCCTTCAAATTATCACAGGAAGATAACTCGGGTATCATTTTGAACGGGAATACTTGTTCTTTAAAATGGAACCACCGGAAGGTTCAAAATCTAGATGCAAAGCCGTCAAAATCGCTGTGGCGTTTTGTTGCATTTTTTACTAAAAATAACACATTATCACAAATATTAACTTTGAAGGCCTGTAGTGGTCGTAGTTTTGGTCTGACAACAAAAATAAGACCAGATTTGAAATCTGCAGAAAATTTCCTATCCGATAGAGAAAACGTTTGCCTGTTTAAAACGATGTTTAAGAAAGAGGTTTTGAGCGCCTAAAAGGGTGTTTTAGCCCACTGTGTGATGGCCCGACGACGGTTGTAGGGGTCCCATGACGGCTTGGGCTTGGGCGTGCTGGATGGCGCCTCGTACGGATCCTTGAACGGATCGACAGGGGCCGTTGGCCTCACCTGCCCTGCCCCTTTTGGTGATGACGTCACTGGGGCGAAAGGAGTGGCTGCGCGGGTACGCGCAGCACTGGGCCAGGATGCACGCGTTGTCCAGGCCGCCCGACTGCTGGAAGCAGCCGTCGTGGTTGTCCACGTTGTGGTTGACGACGTGGACGCCCTGGTGGACGCCAAGGTGGACGGCATGGTGGACGGCCGCCCAGATGAGGTAGTGGGCGGCGGCCTCGTACTGGTAGCCGCAGTAGCGGCCGGTCTGGCCGCTGACTCCGTCACAAGCGGCGTAGCCAGCTTGACGTAGTTGGAGGGGGACACCGGGACCGTCGGGGAAGACGTTCGCTGCACATTAGAGGAATTAGACAAAAATTGGAACCACAGTGGTTGACCTAACTTTTTCCGGTTTGAAAAACAATTCCGGAAGTACAGCTCTAGAATACGTGCTACCGTTAGTAGGTATTTCCGCCAGGATGCGCCTTTCTAGCTGGCGGTAAAACACCTTTAAGAAGTGTGCCAAACCCGCAGTGGTGGGCGTGGCACGGTCCGGCAGGTACACCGGGAGAAAAAGTGCCGCCATTTCGCACTGTACTGCGCTGGAGCCGTCCATGGAGCAGGGCTGAACTGCTTGGGGAGACGCCACGACCTGGCGCCTCTTTCTACCACCCTTAACGGTAGTGGTAGCAGGAGTGGTCGTTGTAGTAGTGGTAGTGGTGGTAGTGGTGGTGCTGGGCAGCAGTGCGTCCATAGTCGCCTTGAACAAAGCTAAATCCTTGCGGATGCCGGACAGTTCAACGGCCATGCCGGTGAGCTCGGCCAGAAACGCTCCCGTATGGGGCGCACCGGGTTCGTCGTGAAGGGCGGTTATTTTGGTACGCAACGCGTCAACCTTTTCCAAGAATCGGTCCACCCGGTGCAAGCGAATCACAAGTAACCAGTCGCTCAAAGAGTAGTAAAAGTCGGCTTTGTAGGTGAAGAGGCAGCCCGCATCAAGTTGATCGGGCAGCTCGATGGCGGCTGCCGTGATGTTTTGCGGCGATTGATTGCCGCCCACGACGGGCCGCCCGCGGATGGCCGGGAGGGCCGGCTGGATCACTGCCAACAAGGTGCAGATCCACGCGCCACACCGCAGCCACGCTGGATGCCCTAATAGCCCGCAACAAAAGAATGGAATTTAGTTAACGGGGACCGGGGCACCGGTTTGTACCACCACTCTTCAGCCATTTCCAGGATCCGCCAGTAGGACGGCTTGCTGGCTGCTTGCCGCCCGCTGCGGATGGCCTGCAGCGTCTCAGGGTCAGCAGCAGAGTAGGGCTGACGCCGATAGGGCAGATAGTCCATTTCTATGATTAGAAGGACGTTATGCCCAAACACGTGAGTGATTTCGAGACGCAGTTCGTCCGTAAGGATGCCGTGCGGCGAGCTGCACCCGCAGCAGGACACCGGGCAGGGAAGGTCCTGCAGGTTGAAGGACGGTGGACGGTTCAGCAGGGCGTCGGCATAACTTTTTATCTTAACAGCTAAAACAGGAAAAATAAAAAGAAATACTTTTTGTTAGCGGGTTAGGGCAGGTCTGGGACTGGCCCGTGCGAGCGCAGGCGACGGTCGGAAGGCTCCACTGGGACAGCCTTACGGGTGCGGGACGCAGGAGGCGCGGGGGAATCGACCTTGGCGCCCCCCCCTCTCCTCGTCCCCACCGGGACCGGCCTGCGTCGCGTTCCACTCCGCCGCGTCTTCGGCCGACAGTTGGCCGTCCGGCGCGAGACGCGGGGCCCGCCTTAAGGTATTCCACTAGGGACAGTCCCTGCAAGGAGTGTAGTCAAGTCCCAACTAAGACACTCTCACTTGGGGATGTAATGAAATGAGTCTAAGTTGCGCGATGGGTTAATGTAACCACCCTTTCTCATAATAACAACAATTTTCTCAACCCGGACTTCATATGGTTCAATAATTATCTGTGCAAAAATTACCATCAAAATACTTTTGGATATGACTATCACCAACGCCACCCTAAAATGCTGAAAGGTAACCACGATATCGAAGTCAAAGACAATTTAAGTGCGAATTCGGCCTGACAAACGCTTCTCGGTTAGTAATTAATTTATTTAAAATCTGCACATGCCGAACTCTTTCCAGTAAACTAACTTTTATGAAGCAGTAACGAACCATATTTTGTTTCGTGCAGTGCGGCAACGTTGCAAGTGGTAGCCCTGCTTCGGCTACGCCATCTTTGTTTACATCAGCAGACGCCGTCCACTTGTTTCAAGATCCAGCCTAAATGTACAGACTAAAAGGAAAATTGATTTGGCCAAGCAATATAAAGCGTATCTCAGCAAAGTGGAAATTCTGAAGAAAGGACGAGTGCCGCAGCCGCAGCCCGACTCCCCAACTACTCCAACTCCAGAGCCATCAGAGCCTGCAAGGGCCACCAGCCGCCGTAGCCTAAGTCCTCCCAAACGATGAAAATTCGACGCCAAAAGTTGTTGTTTGCAAATGAAGGGGTTTCAATGTGGACCATAAAGCCTGTGGAAGGGGGCGGCGAATGGTTGAGATTTTTGTGCTGGCCAAACATTTGTGGTGCTGCTCGTGCAAGGAATGCCTGTCTCTGGAATACATCGAGAGAGAGAGACGCGTTGCGGCTTGGGGTCACTTTTCTACATTCGCTGCCACAAATGTGCCATTTTTAACGTCGTCCCCACTGGAAAACGGCAAAAAGATGCACTTGGACGCGAGACCCTCTTCGATGTGAACTCTAAGGCAGCGGGGGTGGGTTTTTATGTCTTGTTTATCAATATCACTGGGGGCCCGTAACCTCACTTTTTTAAAAAAGTGACAGTTCTCTTGTAACTTTTTTTTTGTTACTTGTGTCCCCAGGTGTCACGAGCTCTGGATGTTGTTACGCCCATTCGGACAAGTTGCTTGCTAACATGAACATGCCCAACATGGCCTTCGACACCTTCAAAAAGTGTGAGCGGACCTCAGGAAAGGGCATCGAAAAGATTGCCAGAGAGAGCTGTGAGGAGGCGGAAAAGGGAAAAGGAAGAAAATCCTGACCATCCAAAACAAGACCAGCATCGGAAAATCCTGTTAGATGATCAAAAAACTATGTTCACGTGAAAATTCAATGAAACCAGTGAATTACATGCCAGGATCAGGGATTGTGGTGAACACAAGCAAAGCAGCTGATTGCACAGCGGCACCTAACTTTCTGGAGGGTTTTCCCTAAATGCACTTAAAATTGGGGGGTACTTTGGGTTTCTGTACATTGGTACCTTTCATTACTTTCACTGTGAGTGACAAATATTTATTTTATTTTATTTTACTTCTTTGAAGAGCTTTCCATGGCATTAAAATGTCTATGGAAACTACTCAGGTCATGATTCAAGATATTTCTCTGTGGAGCCCTTTTTCAAATGACTGAAGCTTTATTTTGGTGAAAGTATAATTGTTGTCCGACAAAATTTACCAAAAGTGACTTGTCGTTCCAGTTTTACAAATCGAAAGCTGTAGCTCAAACCTTGACCTCCAGTGCGTTCCTCATTACTACAGAGTGTACTCTGTGTATAGCTTGATGGTTGCAACTACTTTTATAATTATATTAACCTGCTGAGCCCATGTGCTGAGCCCAAAAATAAAAATTTTGTTTTGCAATGAAATAAACCAATTTTTATTAAGGTTTTAGTTTTTTGGCTCAGCACATAAGGTTAATATAACTATAAAAGTAGTTGCAACCATCAAGCTATACACAGAGTACACTCTGTAATAATGGGGAACGCACTGGAGGTCAATGGTTGGGCTACAACTTTCGATTTCTGAAACTGGAACGACAACTCAGATTTGGTAAATTTTGTCGGACAACAATTTTACTTTCACCAAAATGAAGCTTGAGTCATTTGGAAAAGGGCTCCACAGAGAAATATCTTGAATAATGACCTGAAGCTGCCTTTAAGTGATAAATATTTTCTGTTTAAGTTTTGATATTTTATTTAATTTTTCAATTTATTATTAGTACACCTAGTCACCACGGTAGCATATTTTTATGCTGTAATTAACCTGAAATGTGATATTTTTTGTCCAACTGGCGAACTGGCCTTGCCAAAGGAATATTAACAGTAGTAATAGTGATAGCAATAAAAACAATAGTGATAGTAATAATGATAGTAATAAAAATATTAGCACTAATAATGTTGTAGCTACTGTACAAAGTCCCTCTGATATGGATGAGCCAGACTTAGAGAGTATTTGGAGGCTGGTGAAGAATTATCATTTTTTCAACTGTAAATATTGTTAATAAAATAAGTTAAATGCACAAAAAAACAATGCTAACATTCCTTTGTCCTGTTTTCGTCCCAAACCCAACTGCCCATTCAGTCTCTACTTCCTAACTACATATTGCATACAAGGATTTGAAAGTCCCGCCTTACGGTGCACTGCGAAGTGCGGGGGTGCGGGGGTGGGCGGGGGCCTGCGCGTGGGCGGCGTTGCCGTCGTGCAGTTGCCCTTTGCTACAAAACCGTCACATTCAGCACTTTCAAACGAGATTCCTTGAACACATATTAGTGACGGTCTTTCAAATATCGCACGATGAGCTCCTAAAGCATTAAGGTATGTAATAAGTACTTCAGATTAACTTTCTGACTGGCCGTTTTTTAAAAGATACAAGAAGAAGGGTCTCGATCGCAGTTTTCCCATAAGGTCCCATGTTAAATTTGATTCATCAATATCTCGGCAACCATACAGACAATCTGTTTCATTTTTCACGCGGGGCTTGAGAAGGCGTCGCTTATTGTGCTGCGTGAATTTCATTCATTTCTGACTCGAACGAGTAATAGGGGTGGTCGAATGTACACTTTTTTCGAAATCTCAAAAGTTAGATGGCGCATTTTGTAGTATTTTTTCTGCTGATTCCGAATATGTACTTGGTTTTGAGAAAGGAGTAAAACTGAGGGCGCTACCAGCCTTTTAAGTTTTGAAAAATGGCTTAAAATGCGAACTTTTAAAATTTTACTTTTTCTCCGTTTGAAAATCACAGTACATTTTCGGAATCGGCAGAGAGAATGCAACAAGATGCGCCATCTTACTTTTGCAT